CAGCAACCTGCCAGGTACTGAGTGTCTCAAAATGGAACCAAAGGAATTTTTGAATTTCCAAGGTTTATTAGGTATTCATTCCATATCTACTTAGAGGCTACCTCATTATCTGACCTCTTTGAGAAGAAAAGCCACTGGGTATCTTTGATGACAGCCAAAGTCTTCCAAACTGTTGAGTTTTTTCACTTCTGTCCTAGTTCTGGTCTTATTTGAGCTTGAGTTCCTGGCTGAAACTAACATGCCCTGTTCAGTACCAGGGGCCATCTTGCTGCCCTAAATAAGCAGTACATCCTACTCAGCACCTTGCAGAAATACTACAGGTGTAGGGGGGGAGGGGGAATCTTCCAAAAGTTCATGGAAAATGGATAAAACTTCATTTAAAAAATGCACGGATTTCAGAATTATTTTGTGCTAAAATCTTAGTTTTCATAAACTTTTTGGAGATCCCTCCTATCCCTGCTCTGCTTTTCTAAGGAACTATTTTTAGTTGAACCAGTCATCCAGCAGCAAAAAGATTTCCTATAATTCCTTTGAATAGTTCCACTGCCTTCCTGGGTCCTGGTTGGCTATTGGATCATTAGTAATTCTTTCTTTCTTTCTTTCTTTTTTTTTTTTTTTTTTTTTTTGCGAGGCGTTTGCTATAGGGCGTGTGCGCTCACCAGAAAAACAGAGAGAGACAGAGAGACAGAAAGCGAGAAATCACCCCCAAGGGGGGATGGTCACGCCGCAATCCCTTCTCCTCCATTCTTCTCTCGGGATCTTGGGCATGCACGCACACATGCCTGGCGTGAGTTTAAGCCACCGGGTCCGGGACTTGGTCTGTGGTCGACTACCTGGGAGTCAACAACATAACTTTAGGCCATCTGCTGTTCCCTTTCTGAATATTTTTGACCTGTGGTTCACTGGATCCATGGATGCAGAACCTGTGCATATGGAGGACCGAGTGTGCTCTCTCCAAGTCCTCGGCAAACTACTGCTGTGGTTCACCTCTATGTCACCCTTGGGTCTTTCACAATTCCAGAGAGTAACTGATCATTAGGAAAATATTGCTTCATTTAATTTTTCTCAACTGGTATTTTAATCATCCTCAATCCATGAACATTTTTATCATATAACTAATCACTTTTTATTACTAGGGCCAGCAGTTGTTGTAAAGGCTATGTCACTGGACTCCCATGTAGTTGACCACGGTTCAAGTCCAGACCCAGTGGCTTAAACTCATGCCGGGCACGTGTGCATGCATGCCCAAGATCCCAAGAGGAGAATGGAGAAGGGACTGCAGCGTGGCCATCCCTCCAGGGGGGTGATTTCTCACTTTCTGTCTCTCTGTCTCTCTCTCTGTCTTTCTGGTGAGCGCACGCGCCCTATAGAAAAAACCTCTAAAAAAACTTCCACAAAACTAATAATTTTTTTATTACTTTATAAAAGGTAAATAATTCCTCTACAATGAGCAGTTACAGAGGACAGGAACTATTTCAGATATTTTATTTCACTTTATATTTCAATAGAAATCCAATTTTTAAAATTCTAGACACAAAATAAAACTAAAATATTTAAATTAATATTATTGCTCATTTCTCTAATTCTTGCTGGGGAAAATGTAAAATTTCATGATACAAAAAAATATATATTTCTTTTATTGCCAGAGGGCACACACAGTCACCAGAGTGAGACAGAGAGAGAGAGAGAGAGAGAGAGAGAGAGAGGAAAAGCATCCCCAACGAGTAGCGATCATGCCCTGGCACTTCCCCTTCATTTCTCCAGTCTGTTGGGATTTTGACTACCATGCAGATATGCCTGGCAGGATTTTCAAGCCACCAGGGCAGGGATTTAAAAAATGTGGTTTGCCATGTGAAATATGGCTCTCTCAACGCCCAGGCTATGGGACCAGCTCAAGATACAAAAGAATATTATGCAAGTCTAAATAACTATGTCAGAGATAATCCAGATCGGATGTATGAAAATCTCATCCAATCATATTTACAGTCTCCAGGGCACAGTTAAAGTGTGGTTTAAAGTAACATTTTAATGTTATTAAACATTCAGTTGCCAAGAATCCTATCTTTAAAATTCTTAACAGTTTTTTTTGTGCCATTATAAACTCTACAGAATATTCCTTAATGCATATTACTCATGTTATCGAAATGTATTTTTACTTCCTTTTCTTTTCGAATTTGTGCCAGGTTCAAACATCAAAATATTGAATAGAGGGAGTGTTTCAATCATTTGTGAAGACAATTGTAACTATTTTAAAATTTAGGAAGAGAGAGGGAAAGCAATGTCAAACATCCCAACTCACCTGCTGCTCTTAAGGCCTTATGATATGGACATTTCTTACAGCTGTTCAGTGATTACCATCTGCCTAAGTCAGGGTTATGTTCAACAGAGTCCTCACACCTGGAGTCTTCATTCCGTGCCCATGGATTGGCTCACATTGTTTATCTTGCCCAGAATTCCCTTCATTCTCAAAATTATGGCTTTGGAACATATTTTCTTTGGGTACTGGTATTTAACACTAGAGAGAAAAGTTGTGTGAATTGAAAAAAAAATTAAATGTAAATATAGTTTTAAAACTATTTACTTGACATACTGAATAAATACAATATTTACTTATTATTTGACATCAGGGAAAACAGAATATAGAAATACTATAAACAACAGTAATGAAAAAGTAGTATATAAAACTAACTACCTACTGGTTTCATAGAAATGACATGGGGGCATCCTTAACCACACAATATACATACAAGACAATGACTCTCCAACTTTATCCAGCATAAGAATCACCCAGAAGACCTGTTAAAACAGATTTCTGGATTTGAACCCCAGACCTTCTGATTCAATAGATCTGGAGTGGGCACAAAAATTAGCGTTTCTAATCCAATCCCAGATGGCATTTACACTGCTAGACCAGAGACTGTGGTTTGAGAAGCACTGATAGAATAACTTTAAAAGTTCACTGTGGTTTTGGTTTGGGCCTATCTGAAACGTGTACATTTATTGTGCTCATGGTTCTTCGACCAGTTCAGAATGAGAGACCAATTTGTAAACTGCAAAAGAAAAGGACAGAGAGAAATTCTCAGAGAAGAAACAATGGCGAGTCCATTTTAGTCAGAAGATTCATCTTTAAACTGACGGGAAACAAGACCGAGTTATAAAATATCTATTGATTGCATGATATTTGTTGCAACATTGTTTTAAAGAAAAAACTGGAACCAAAGTGCCCATTTCTGTTGCAACGTTGTGATAAAGAAAAAACTGGAACCAAAGTGCCCATTTAACTGAAGCTTAGTTAAATAAACTTTGGCAACCTTAAGTATAAAGAAATGTACAAGAGGTAGATTTGGATGTGCTTATATGGCAATATTTTCAAAGCACATTGTTATATTTTTAAAAAAGTGAAGGTATAGGATGGGGCCAGCCTGTGGCGGGAAGGTTAAGTCACTGGATTCCACATGGCCAACTCCGTGGTTCAAGTCCTGGACCTAGAGGCTTTCATGTGTGCATGCCCCAAATCCTGAGGGATTGTGACGTGGCCATCCCCCCCCCAGGGGATGATTTCTTATTTTCCTTGTGGTCACTTGGTCTCTCTTTCCTTGTGGTCACTTGGTCTCTCTTCTCTCTTCTCTGTCTCTGGCAAGTACATAGCCCTATAGCCAAAAAAAAAAAAAGTATAGGAAAGGTGCATGAATTTACATAAATAATAAATATACATTTTTAGATTTAACCATATTTGTATTTACATTAATATATTTATATTTAAAATGGAATATAATTATCTATTAATGTATAAATATACCTATATGTGGCATATAATTATATATTAATGTATAAATATACCTATATGTGGCAGTTGTTACAGTATACATATACATCTGTAAATATGTTTTCTCTTAAAACTAAATAAAAATTATTCGTATTAGTTACCTTTTGAGAGATTTTGGTGGAGAATATATGATTTTAATTATTAATTGTATTCTTTCTGTGTGTAATTTTTAAAACCATATATATGCATAATTTCTAGTTTTAAAATGTCAATAACTCAGACTAAAGTGACTATCATTGAAAAAAGCAGACAACAAAAAATGTTGGCAAGATACAAACAAACTCTCATACAATACTGGTGGGGATGCAAAATAGTACAAGCACTTTGGAAAACAGTGTAGCAGTGATCATGTAAGAGGACATGTTTTTAGCAAATACATATTAAGGTATTTATGTATCTCCAAGTTACTCCTTTGTGGCTCAGGAAAAAAAATATTTGCAATACACATATGTACATCTTAATATGGAGGAAATTATGAAGTGAAATGGGGGGGCCGGCAGGTGATATGGTGGTTGAAGGTGCTGGATTCCAACATGGCTGACCATGGTTTGCGTTCTGGACCTGGCAGCTTACTTTCTCACTTTCTCTCTCTCTCTGTCCCTCTCTAGTCAAATTAAAATAAATAAATAAAGTTAAATAAAATCATTCTTTTAAAAAAATAAAGTGAAATAGACAAAACAACAATTAGTGAATCTGGGTGAAGGCTACATGGAATTCCTTCAATTTCTCTGTAAATTTGATTTGATAGAACATTTAAAAGGTTTTAAAATCCTACGCAGTGATTCGAATGTGTCCTCAAAGTTCATGTGTTGGAAACTTCATCTCTAAGGCAACAGTGTCAAGAGGTGAGGCCTTCGAGGTGACTAGGTCGTGAGGGCTCTGAATGGATTAATGCTGTGTTGGGGGAGTGGAGGGGAGCTCCTGAGAAAAGGACGAGCTGGACCTTCTCCCTCTCTCCCGCCAGCTCCCTTTCTCACCTGCCCTCTGCAGTGGGACAGCACAGCAGGAGGCCCTCACCGATCCTGTCCTCTCAGTCTTAGACTTTTCAGCCTCTAAAACTGCCAGAAATTAAACTCTGTTCTTAATAAATGACTCAGTTTTGGGTGTGCTGATATAGCAGGACAGGAAGGACTAAGATACCTTGTGTTACACAAAAACCTTCTACAATAGCAAGGAGCAAATACAAAATGTATGGAGAATATCAATAGGCAGTTCATAGAAGAAATCAAAGTAGATAATAATAATAATACAGAAATATGCCTAATTCTCATTAAATATAAATCATTTTCATTGAAGATCATTTTTATTCTATATTAAATTTTAAATGATTTATTTTTAAACCATGGTAAAATATAAACAATATAAAATTCAACATTTGAACCTTTTTAAGGGTATAGTTCATTAGCATGAAATACATTTTTTAAAGAGATTTTTGCTGTAGGGTGCATGCACTTGCAGGGGAGAGAGAGAGAGAGACAGAAAGTGAGAAATCAACCCCTGCCCCCGCCCAAGGGGGATGGCCACCCTGCAATCCCTTCTCCTCCATTCTCATCTCAGGAGTTTGGGCATGCGTAGGCAGCCAGCATGTTTCAAGCCACCGGGTCCGAGATTTGAATCATAGTCAACCACGTGGGAGTCCAGTGCCTAAACATTATGCCACCTGCTGGCTCCAGCATTAAATACATTTATATGACTGGGCAATCACTATCATCTATCTTCAGAATGTTTTTCATTTTACAAAATTGAAAGTCTGTGCACTTTAATCGCTAACTCTTCACCTCCACTCCCAACTCCATGTGGGAGTCCAGCTTAACTTGCCTTAACTGCCAAGCCACCTGCCGGCCCCCTATGTCAATATTTTTAATAAAAAAAAGTTGGCAATCACCATTCAACTTCCTGTCTATGAATCTGGCTCTCTGAGTGCGTCATATGATGGAATCACACATATCTGTCCCTTTATGATGGGTTTATTTCACCTAGCACAATGTATTCGGGCTTTATCCATGTTGCAGTGTGTGTCAGTTTCTTGCCTTTCAAAGACTGAATAATACCCTATTGTATGTACATATCACATTTTGTTTACCCATTTACCCATCAATGGATACTTCAGCTTCTATGTTTAGCTATTGCAAATAATGCCACTTTAAACATGGGTGTACAGATAAATGTTCATGTCCCTGGTTTCAACTCTTTGGTCTAGATACTCCGAAGTGTAATTGCTAAATGATATGATAATTATATTTTTACTTTTTAGAGGAACCAGTTCTTTGGTCTAGATACTCGGAAGTGGAATTGCTAAATGATATTATAATTATATTTTTACTTTTTAGAGGAACCAGTATACTGTTTTCCCCAGAGACTGTACCATTTTATGTTCCTACCAGCAATTTACAAAAGTTCAACTCTTTTTCAAATCCTCACCAACGTTTGTTACTTCTTTCAAGATTATTTTGACTATTGGAGTCTCTTAAGACTCCATATAAATTTTAGAGTGGACTATTTTATTGCTTTTAACAATCTGTTTAATTTTGATAGGGATTGCATTGTACCTTTAGATCACTTTGGACATAACTGACACCTTCAAAATATTTCTTAATATTGTTAATATTTCCAATCTATGGAAAGTCTAGCACTAACTGAGATACTGGGAAATAGGCTTTGTATGCATTTGCTAGCAGAACTATGAACGAAGTCACTTAGAAAGTATTGGTGTGAGTACTTGCCAAAGAGAGACTGAGAGACAGAGAGAGAGGGAGAGGAGAAAGTGCCTCCTGCGGGGAATGGGCACACTGCAACTCCTCCTCCATCTTTCCTCCTTCTAGGATTTGGGGGTTCACACGCACACCTGCTCAGCATCCTTGTCAGCTGCTCGTCTTGGACTTGAATTGCTGGGTCGGCCATGTGGGATCTGGCTGCATTAACCCCAGGCCGCAGAGCCAGCCCGGCACTCATCCTTTAAAGCAGTAATCCCACGGACATGTTGTTTCCCAGCACACAATCACTACAGTAAATTCACACGGACAGTGATACTTACTGCACTGCTGCATGTGGCAGCCAACACGATGAACAATGCAATTGTTACTTAATAGAGGAAGTCAGTAAGTTATGGAATATTCGCATTTTAGAATATCGTGAGGTAACTTAAAGGTGTGAGAGATGAAAGAGATACGTATTAATCTACCTGGTTGGGAGAAACGAAGGGTCCATGCTATGATCCTGTTACTGTACGAAACCATAGCACCCCTCCATTCACGTGTATCTACTTACACGTATTTCAGGAAGGTCTCGTGATACTACCTGTTTGGGTGAGGGGACCCACAGTCTGTGAAAACTGGTGAGGAGAGGCAGTGTACACCCAGTGTAAAGTTCATCCTGTCGGCCTGTCCTGCAGTGGCTCTTTACCTTTATGGATGGGTTTTTTGCTTTTAGAGGTCACAGGAGGCAGAGGACTTTTAACGTTAACAGCTCTTTGGTTTAAGATGATATTTTTCGACTGCCCTAAAAAATTAGAACAGTGTTATTAAATTATACAAGAAACTAATTTCAGTTTTTATAAAGTTAAATTTTAATCCATTTCTAAAGTGCAGTATCCTTATAAATTTTTAAAGAAATTTAAATAAATCGCTGTAACAGAAATATTTTTCTCTTATTTTTTGACCTGTTTTAAGAGTGTCTTATGTGTGCAAATCAGGAAAAAGAACAGAAATATCACATGTAAAAATATCAGAGAAAGAGCTTTTCTTTTACAGTAGGACAGTAAAGAATTGTGAGTAAATGATAACTTCTCAGATAATTTTTATCTCTATATAAAACATTATATCTTTGTATTTAAAAGAAAGCTATAGTCTTACCATGAAAAACGTAGTGCAGGAATGGCAAGAGTGCTGCTTAGAAGTGCTATTATGAAGACGTATTTTGAACACTATCTAATATGTAACTATATAATAATGAAAGTAGCTTCAATTCTTCTTATTTAGAGAAAAAAATAACATAAAAAGCACAGTGTGGGACATTTAGATGTACCTTCTAAGTTAGTGGGCAAAATTATCATTAATGGGTTGAATTTCCACAACATGTTTCTCGTAAGGAAATGAAACATTCAGCTTTTCCATTTCTAAAGGCAAATGTTTGCTTAAAAATGTGTATCTGCCATTAAATCCAAGGGTTGGCTATTTGGTGGAAAAAACATTATGCTACCATTACTTCCATTCAATTCATAAAATAAGATCATGGAGCAGAATTTAGGTACTGGATGATTCAGACCAGTGGTTATTCAGCACTACTACGGCTTATAATTAATACCTCCATCAGAGAAAAGGCTTTGAGTTAGAAGATGTAACCCAAATTATAGGGAAAAGTAGAAATGCACCCCATAGAGTGCAGTATTGGAGGTGATAACAGTAACAGGTGAACCTAAAATCAATGACGTTCACCTAAAATATACGGAAAGATCACTGAGAGAACAGCTCTGAGAAACTGAGAAGCTGGGACTTCTGACCAACGAAAACCCCCTTCTCAGCTCCAATCCATCTTACCAACTTTATGTCGCAGCTACTGAAACCCAGCTTTCGGATTCTTTTAAACCTTCTGCCATTACACATCATTCCTGACAATTATTCCTTGTAGCTCACTCAGGTGAAAAACAGATTTCACTCTCTTTGTTTGTATTGATTTCTCCTTTACCAGAAACAAACCCCAATTTTCTAAATTGTTGGAGTTATTTCTCCTTTTATGTTGCCAGTAATAAAAAGAATGGAACAGGGACCAACAGATGGCGTAATGGTTACAGCTCTGGACTCCCATGTAGTTGACTATAGTTTCAAGTTCCAGATCCAGTGACTTAAAACTCACAATGGAAGCGTGTGCATGCATGCCCGCCCAAGAGCCTGAGGAGAGAATGGCGGAGAAGGGACTCCAGCGTGGCCGTCCCCACAGGAGGAGATTTCTTGTTTTCTGACTCTCTGTCTCCCTCTGTCTCTCCAGCGAGTACATGCTCCCTATAGCAAAAATCTCTCTCTCTCAAAAAAAAAAAAAAAAAAGAAAGAAAAAAAGAATGAAATAAAAAATAATATCTAAATCACCCTTTTCCATTTCTTGTTGATGTTTCACTTAGAATCTTTATGGACTAATATGGCATATATATTTGTTTTATGTATTAGTGCACATAATATATCAGGGAAGAAATCATCTACATTTTTAAAACAGTTCAAACTCACTATCTGTAGGAAATATACAGGGTGGTGATTATATAATACCTCTGAACAACGGATAACGGTCAGTGCTTAGACATTGGTGGCTGTAGATGGCTGGGGACATGGCAACAGAGGGA